ATTATTAATATTATTATTATTATTATTATAAATATTATTATAACGAGTGACAGCGACAAAACCGTGAATTAAACAATATACAAGATGATATATTACGATTAGAATAATGGGAAAAAGTTATTGTCCGGTCATCCGGTGGATTAAGTGTTTTTCTCTCGTGTGCAGCCGCGCTGCCACGCGTGTTCGTTTTTGTGAGTCTGGCAAGCGCGACTAGCCATGTAACGTCGATTATAATGAACAAAAGAAAAAAATAAAAAATGATATTAACAAAGGAGAAAAAAAAAAAAAAAAACATTTAATCAAGAAACAGATAGAAGTTTATATTAATATAGAAAATATATGAAAATGAACTGTATCAATGTAAAATAATATTGAGGGACAATTAAATGATATATTGTATATTATTCTTATTGATAAAAATAAACTCGGAATAAAAACACCAAAGCGTGAGGTGTTTCAAACTGTGACAGCTAATTGAAGTAGAAAAAAAAAGTAACAAAGTTAAAAATCGAATTACTCGCAGAATGTTAATTTTATTGCTGTAAGTAAAGTATAAAGAAAAGAAGTGAAAGTGAAAAAGTGGTGTTGACAATTTATTGCATAGTTGAAAAGTCTCTATGGTTTATTCTCCAGTTATAAGGTAGAATACATTTTTTTTTATACCCTTAAAATACAAAAAAAATTAAATTTTCTCATGCGTTTGAAGGATCCATCAATATAAATTAATAAAAGTCGAATATCTTTTAACTTCTTTCACTTTCTCCTTTGTAATCATGAATAACGAACGAGGACAACAATTTTGGGATTTTGGAGGATGACTATTTAAACAGTCGTTGATTAATAAAAGTTGATTTTAATTTATATAGAAAAACAGGTTATATTTAAGATTAATCGGGTTTAGAATCAACATGAGAATTTCATTTAAAAGTTGTCACAAAATGTTAATTATTAATTTATTATTTAATTTTCTGTTTGCATGTAAGAAAAAAAAGCGCTTAGTAAAATTCGAGAGTTGACTGCATACTCCACCAATATCCACTCCAATTAATTTATTTTTCTGCGAAACAAATCTTTTTTTCGTTTGTTCTAAGCTATCCACTTGCGTCCATACGTTGGGAATTTTTGTCAATATACTCTTCAAGCTCACCCAATGTTTAAGACGATTCCCAACAAGATTGTACAACAAACATACACAAAACAATTAGGTACAGAAAAAACGTGGTTATGTTCATGGATTCTTATCTCCTTCGACGAATTCAAACGAGCTCTAAAAGCTTCGCGCCGAAAACAGCCGCCATATTGAAAGCTCACTTGAAAATCCAAACGCGCGCGCGCGTGGGGGTGCGTGTAGCTGCACCCTCTTTCCTTCTAGATTCTGACGTGAAAATGAGAAAAAAATAAAGTATACCCACAAACTCCTCCGAATGCATGAATAATAAAAGCCGCTATCGTCGTCGCGTCGAAACAAAATCCTGGGCCCATTGATGCTCCGTCACGTGTGCGATTAATAAATCCAATGGTGCGTTTGTTCGTATGTTCTTGAATCACCATAGGCTGGTGATTCAGTTGTGTCGTCTCGTACATACCCTTGGCGCAGGGGAGGATGGTGTTTCGTGCGTGTTCCGTCGGAAATGGAGGGTGTACCGAAGCTCGTTCCTTATCAATAGGTTATCCCAAGTGAAACAACAAAGCCGTCATTCATCGGCATGAAAGTATCATGATTTTGAAATTGAGGACAGTGAGTGCCGAATGGCCGCGATAAAATAGTGAACACGTTGTGTGTGTACATTGTCGTTCGGTATAATGCGATTGAAAATAGCCAAGTCCCTGCTGATGGTCGTTCTGCTGGGCAACGTGATCATCTGGTACAGGATATGGCGGCTCTTCGCGGTAGAACAGTCGCATTCGTTGCTGGACATGGGGGCCGTGGTGGCCACGGAAGTTCCGCAAAAGCTACACCGTAGATTGGCCAAACTGGTAACTGTCGTCATTCGTCAATTCGAGAGTTTCGAGAACGAGGTCGCGAGCACGGTGAGACTGATAATCAACACATTTCCCACGATGGCGGTCGTCATCGTCAGCGACGAGTTTTTGTATCCACCCCTCGAGCTGGACTTTAGCAACGACAGCCTGAGAAACGTCCATCTCGTCTATCTTCAGCCGAGCTTCAATGCCTCCCTCGAAGAGAGGAGTCCTTTGACTTACGTGGACACCAGGTTTGTCGCCTTTCTCCCGGACGCCACGAAACTCACGACCAAGCAGACTCTCCAGGTGTTTATACACAGAGTTTATATACTTTCATTATTTTTTAATTATTTATTTTTTTCTTGCTATTTTATTTTTTGTTATTCCGCTTTATAATATTCTATACCTTGTTTGTTGTTGTTGAACGCAGGAAGCCGTGAATCAAGCTGGAAAACTGGGTCTAGTGGCGGTGCCGGTTGGAAAAAGTTCCTTGGGCTGTCACAACAACAAACTGAGGGTCAAGGAGTGGAGCTTGAGGATCGCGAAGACCACTGGCACGGAGTGCGACGCCGTTGTTGGGAAGCACGTGACCATCGTCGACGTCGACAGAGTGTTGAGGAAATTGTCGGACCCGTTTCTCATGCCGTTCACCGATGCGCTCTACCTACAGACCACGGCGCTGGGAATCAAGGTACCGTGTATTCGTACATTTTTGTTTGTTTTTTTACCATACGCACAAACTGTTGATGTGTATTTTACGTCACCTCCCCCCCCCACACTTAAAATGAAGAACCAATCTTTTTTTCTGTTGTTTTATGTATTTGTATTTTTTTTTTCCACAATCGTCATTTTGAGCATGTGTATATTTGCACGCTATATGTGCATGCAGCCGTGACAAAAGATCCGCGTGTGTACGAGTAAAGGAAACAAACGTTCCATTACTAGGTGAACATTTTGAAAAACCTTCGCTTCAACGACGGCAAGCCCCTGTACCGCAGCCAGCAGGCCCAATGGAGGCTCCAGCAGCTCCACAGGAGCAGGGAACGTGCGATGTACGAAAAGTTGGGTGTGAAAAAGGTGACGCGTAGCCCGAGCAACGTCGAGTGGTACGGTTGCACGCGAGAGACGAGCCATTGTTTCGGCTCGGTTGTCAACGGCGTGCCCAGCTACCTGTACCAGAACCGGTTCACGCCACCCTGCTGTTTGGCTGGTCTTCGCAAGGTGGCCCATCACGTTTTCGACAAGCTCGAGGAGGTGGGCATAAGGTACTGGCTCGAGTCCAGCTCGTTGCTCGGTGCCATGCGCAACGGGGACATCCTGCCCTGGGACCACGAGGTCGTCGTCGGTGTCAATAGGGACGACATTGGTAGGTCGCCCTGGTTGGTCAAGGCCAGGAACAAGGCTGTCGTCGACAATCTCGGGTACGTGTGGGAGAAGGCCACCGAGGGGGAGTTCTTCAAGGTTCAGTACTCCAAGGCCAACAGGCTGCACGTGAGCCTGTTGCCGTTTTACTCGAAGAACGGCACGATGACCAAGGACGCGTGGTTCTTGAAGAATTGCAACTTTCCGGAACAATTTTTGCATCCGATGTCGAGTATCGAGTTTGCCGGCCGGCACGTGCCGAGTCCCAACAACATAAGAGACTTTTTAGATATTAAGTATTACAAGGGCGTGTATGAGAATCCGGAGTTGCCGGGAAAGTTTTCTCTCGATTAGACAGATAATGGGAGGGAGGGAGGAAACGTTTTTTCCATCTTCTTTATCTTCTTCGCGACTGTTGTTGTTACGATCGTTTTTTTTTCTTCATTTTTTTTTTTTTTTTTTTTCGCACATGGTTGCTTTTTGCGATTTTTCAAACAACTTGTTTTTTATATCGTATGGGTGATGACGGAATTTACCCTTGGATGATGATTATTATTATTGTTATTATTATCGAGCTTGTACAAGACAAATTCGAATCGTGTGTAATATGTTAAATACATGCGATGTCCAGCTTTACTGTAGCAGGGTATAATCGACAGGATTTGCAGTCGTAATATAATTATATTGGTACAAAAGAGTTTCATGTCAAAGAGAAACGAAGAAAGAGGCTTCAAAATACGGAGAGGAAGAAACGTCCACTGAATTTTTGGGAATTTTACTATTTTTTATCCCCATTTTGTATACTCGGTAGTTGCGTATTTTTTCTAGAGAACGAAATTGTGAGCTGTAATTGAAAAAAAAAAAATTTTTTTTTTGATTTCTTTGCCATGACGAGAGAAATGGATGAATTAAACGACCTCGTCGTCGTAACGAAGTTAAAACTTTCTTTGACGCAGTCTGTCGACGTTTGCAGAAAAAAAGCATGGAAAATTAGTGTGCCAAAAGTAAGAGTCACTTGATGTAATCAAACAAACTAATGATAAATCTATTGATAATAATGTTATTGTTGACAAGTTGGAGGGAAAAAAAGAGGTTATTGTTGATTTATCGACGTAAGGAAACAAAAAAAGATTGAATTACGTTGCGCGTGTGTTGATTCGTTGAATTTCGCTTTATTGTTAATCGGTGGTGATGTTTATGTCCTCCGGTGGTGTTAAAACGGGAGGTTCGCGCACGAAACTCAGCAGTTTTTCCAGTTTCGCTATTTCCAGGTCGTCCCGCGACATGTTGGCTTGTTTTTTCGACGGCTTTGTCTTTGTTCGCAAATTCGGCGACAATTTCATGGCGTTTATTGTACCCCTGAAACAAATGTAAAATTGTTCAATTGAAATACCGCGCGTGAAGAACCACACGTTACACAAACCATATATATATATATATGAATCTAATCGATTTTCAGTATTTTTCTTTATGTTTACAATAATTTTTTACTCGATGTTTAAGGATTTCGAAACAACTTTGTAAGTATTTGATGTGTCTTTTTTACATCGCTAAGCGAACGAACAAACAGTATTTTAACGGCTGAAAAACATTGTCAAGAACATAATAGTCTGTATGGATATATATCCACCATTTATTCTTAACATATACTCTGTAACGATGAATCAAACGTCGAAACCTTCGCAAATAAACACTTTAGTTAGAAAAATCTTTCAACTCGTATTCACAAAAACTCTAAACGAAACTAAAGTTTTTCCGTACATGTACACCCCAATGATGCATATATACATTGTAAAAAAAAAAAAAAAAAAGAAAAAACCTACTTGTCATCTCCCACGATGATAAACGGCAAGGTGTGATTGAAGGCCAGCCTCGTGAGTTTGTTGCGACGTTTGTTGACGACCGCTTGGCTGCAGATCGGCCGATACTTGTTGACGTTGAGATCAAAGACGGTCACTTGACCGTCGTCCGAGACGCACGCGAGCACCGTCGAACTGTACGGCGCCCACTGGACGTCGCCGATCGGCACCCCAAGATCGAACATGAACAGCGGCTCTCTATCGTTCGAAGAGCGTTTACCATTAGCCTTTGTTTTTCATGCGTCCGATCAAACTCGGGTTGTACTACTTCATGAGTTGCGATTTTTTTTAAAAGTAATGTTTTTATAGCTAAATGCGACTGTACGCGCACTGTGTATCATAACAATGATTGACAATAAATTTTTTTTAAGCACGAAGGAGCAAAGTAACAAACAAACGGAAATACTCAACGGCCTGTCGTCCTCCCAGATCTTGATCCTCCAGTCGCAGGAGCAGCTGGCGAAGATACTCGAGTTGAACTTGTTGAAGACGATCCGGTAGATGGGCATGTCGTGGGCGTCGGCGTAGGTCCTCATGTAAACGCTGCTGTAGGCCGTGTTGCACTTGTAGATGTGGCCTTCCTCGGTACCCACGAGAAACACGTTGGGATCGCTCGGGTGGAAGGCTATGCAGGTGCCGCAGCCTGAAATCCAAAACGTCCATGGTGATAACGGCATCACCGTCGTAGCGTGACAAAGGTAACCTTTGAGGGTGATGGTGGTGCCGTCGGGCCCTGGGACGGGAGGTTGGTCGAGAAAGAGGGTCATGACAGTCGTGACGCCGAGGTCGCTCTGGTTGAGGACCCAGTGGTTGATCCTCCCGTCGATGCTCACGCTGTAAAAGGCCAGGTTGCCATCCTCCGTGTTCGGAGCCCACACGACCTTTACCACAAACCGCGTATTGGTGGGAGAAAATCAAAAATAATTGTACCACCGATCGTTCATTACTTGCCAAACGATGCCGCCGTGTTTCTGGGTTACGTCGTTGCTCTTGTACATCGGGGTTGGGCTCGTCAGCATCACATTGTAGACCGCCACAGTACCGTCCAGTGTGCCTGTGGACAAAACCATGTCTCTCGTTTTTTCGACGTTGTGATTGTTCATAGTAAGTATTCCTTTTTTGGGTATACCGATGACGAGAAGGTTCGGGTTCCTCGCGTTGAAGTCGAGACACATGACGGGTGACTCGGTCGGGCAGATCCATTCGGGGAAGGACGGGTTTTTCACCGAGAAGAGACAAATGGCGCCGCTCTGCATCGGGCTGTCGAACATCACTGCAACGCGTCGCGTTATTATTTTCTTTTGTTTGCCCCCCCCCCCTCAGTAGCAACAAAAACAAAACAACAGCTCACTCGATCCGTAGGCGACGGCAAACATATCGTAGTACTGCGCGTTGAAGCACAAGTCCGTGACGTCGTGCTTCTTCGTTTTCTCGTAGCCAAACTTCCACAGGGGCAGCAGCGAGCCCTCGCTGTCCTTGAACTCGTCGCTCGGATCGTCCCAGTACCTGTAATCTGTCACCAATCGCAAGTAAATAAAAAAAAAAGAAAAAAAAAAAAACAAGAAAAAACAGCTATCGGTGCAGGGGGCACCTTGGAGTATGTCGTCGTAGACGTTCTGGTTGACCATCCGCTCGAGGGTTTTGACGGCTTGCAGCATCCGACCGGTCATCACTGAGCTCTCCTGTTGCCCCTTTTTCCTGGCGTCGTCCTTCCTCGAGGTAACGTGGACCTTGCGCTCCTTTTCCTTCTCGCGCTGCTGCTGGGCGTAGTCCTCCTACCGTACGACGCATTACACATGGTTTTTTCCCAGGCGCGCCCAAACGACAAAACCATACGATACCAGGTAGCTGTCGAGAATTGTCCACTGGTACACGCTGCCCGACATCGAGGCCGTTGGTGGTGGCAATGTTTGCGTCGTCGTGTCCTGCGTCGCATCGTCATTCGTTTGTATCCCGTGCTTAGAACCATCGCGTCAACCACAAAAACCACAAAAACTCACCCTCATCAAATTGTCGTACGTCAGAGCGGCCCTCTCGCAAAAGTTGAACTGGTTCGGTACCTTCTTCGGGCCGCGATTGACCTCGCCGCCCTCCTCCTCCTCGTCGGGCTCTCCGCCCGGCTTGTCCTCCTCCTTTTCCGCTCCTATACCTCGACAAAGTTACAGCGCTAGCCAGTCCCCAAAACCAAAGGAGCTTTTCACCCACCTTCGTTGCCCTCCTCCTCCTCCTCTCCTATACCCTCGTCCTCCTCCTTGCCTTTGACCTCTTCCTCCTCCTCCTCCTCTTCCTCCTCCTCCTCCTCCTCCTCCTCGTTGCCATCATCGTCCTCGCCACCTGTTGTACATAAAAAAAAGAAACAATGGACAGGCGTGAAAAAACAAGTGGAGGTGCAGAAGCTCGACGAACGGACCCAAAGTGTGTCCGGTCAGTTGTATCTTAGCTTCGTCGCTGTCGCGGTGCAGGAGCGTGCCCGAGGCGTCTATCACGGTGACGACGGTTGGTGGGTCGGGTACCGGGATGAACTCGCCGAGCTTGAACGACCACTCGACCACGTTGTCCGATTTGCGGGTGTTGCGCGTCGTCAGGACCCGGGCGATCTCCTCGTCCAGCTCCTGCGACCGAGGGATATACGTATCGTTTCAATGGGAATTCGGGGATGGTCCGTCGTTGGCTTACCCACCGTTTCCGTGAGCTGGAGCTGGTCGTCGGGCTTCAGGAGGATCTTGCCGCGCGTCCATTCCGCCCCGTCGGACCCGAAATCGATCCTCGAAACTCGGCTCTTCACGCTCGCCTGGACCATACCGGTATTAAAGCTTTGCTCGGCTCACCGCACCTCTATCTCAACCACCACAGCCATACTTACTTCCGACGGCCTCGACGACTGCCTCTTTTGCGCCGACGGCGGCATCTTGTCTCGGTGTTACCGATCACTGCTGTCCACCCGCGGAAGATCGGCGGTTATCATCTTGAAACAAAGTATTTTCGGATTTACCGTGTGTTAAAAACAATAACAAAAAAAAAAGAAAAAGAAATCGATTCCCCGAGGATTTAAGGTTAACGCGATTCCGTCGATTGTTTCCTACCCGTGGATATACTGTGCCCATTCGGAGCTTCGATCGGCAGGGCAGTCGCCATGACGACTCGCTGTCATACACCACAGACCATGATGATGACCCTTACTTACTTACCTTATCACTTTGTACGCGTTGATATTGCGTAAGTGATGGAAACTATAAATAAAGTCCAAGTAAAATTAATAACGGTTGCATTGAAAAGTTCCAACTGCGACAGGTGCCGTTTTCCGCACTGCCGTCGCTATGGATACGCGCAGTCTCGGAACAGGAGTAGGTATGGGTATACGGTGTATAGCCCACATTAACCCACCCGCATATACCATCATCGAATCGTATACATCGAGAGAGAGAGAGTCTTGCGCGCGCGCGCGACGAGTGTACCTCTTTGGCTCTCTGTCTGGGGTGCGGTGCGTCGAGGTTATTCCAGCTGTTGTCTCTTCCTGGATGGCGACGTAGGGAGTTTTTTTAAAAAACTTTTCTTCCTTTTTTTTTGTCGTCGCACAAACATTTCTTCCCCTTCGTTCGATGGACTGCACGTCGATGGAGGAGCCCACGGATGAGCGCGGCATTTTCAAGGTACGGATTTTCACCCAACGGGTCCTTGCACGATGTTTTTTTTTTTTGGTTTTGTATTTGTGTACGTACGAAAAAGCTCGTTCCGCCTGTATACGTTTTGGAAGGGAAATCATCTCGCGCGCGTCGTGATGTGTGTTTGTTATACGCGCTCGCCGCCAGCCAAGGAAATCAATAAGGCTGCGCTGTGTCTGTGCGAGTGTGTGTGTGAGGTCTGTGTCTGGGATGGCCAACAAGTTGCACGAGCGCACATACACGCTTTGGAGATGTAGTCGTTCATTTACTTATTTATTACTATTTTTTATTTTTTTCATTTTCGTAACGACATGTATACTGGAGGGTGTAAAATGTGTGGGTATATTGTTTTTTTACAGTCAAAGTAAAACGATGGATCTCAACGCCAACGGGGGTATGGAGGACAGCGGCATCGACAGCGATCCAAAGACCAACACTCGCGCTGAGGATGACAATGTTTTCGGGGCAAGTGTTTTTCTCGATTTCAACCGTTTTCATGATGATTTTTTTATTTTATTTTTTATTATTATTATTATTGTTTCTCCGTTACAGGGCAGCGACAGCAGTAGTTGCAGCAGCAACGGCAACCACAATCAACGTCAGTCCGTGGCTCTGAAGTCCACCACGAAACAGTTGCAGAAAAAACTTGGTTAATTCCTTTAACTTCTCCTTAAAATAAAAACCATACGTATTTGGCCAACACGTGTAAAAGCAGGAAAAGTCACTTTATTTTTCGCGAAAAAAGAGGTTGAGGGAGGGGGGGGGGAGAGAAACAATAACCCCAATTGTTCCATNAAAAAAAAAAAAAAAAAAAAAAAAAAAAAAAAAAAAAAAAAAAAAAAAAAAAAACAACAGCTTTGACCCAAGAGAAACGCTAGGACTAAATTAATGTTGCTTGAACCGTCGAGCAGAGGCACGGATCGAGCAGGCCAAGCGGATCCAGCGCAACAGCTCGCACCTCGAGTACACGAAGCTACCGGACAACGAGTCCGACGCCGGGGGCCCCAGTGGGAACATATCGCTCATACCGATACAGCGGCTACCGATACCCCAGAAGAGGAAAAAACACAGCAACGCGCTCATCGACTTTTTGCACAGCGACAGCGAGAGGTGAGCTCGGTCTTTTGACATTTCTTCCTCTTCTTCTTCTTCTCCTTCTCATACCTCTTGTCTGCAGCGAGGACGAAATGACGCTGTTCGCGTCGAGGGAGGAAAAGTCGAAGCACAAACAAGATCTCACGGATACGTTCAGCATAGAGGAGCTGAGCGAGGAGGGCAGCGAGGACTCGTTGCACTTGGGCGCGGCGCCCATGGATCATCCTCACACGCGGACCTACATGCCTTCCGGGTGCTTCTCTTCCTGCCACTGTCGGATACTTTGAACGGCCATTGGAAGGACGATACAGATTTTTTTTTTATTTTTTATTTTTTTTATTCAAATATAAAAATATATCGATGTAAAAGGGAGATTTTATAAAAATAACGTTGGAAAGTCCGCGAGGAAGGATTATAGTGGCGCAAAGATAAATGCGTTGTTTGTAACGATCGACTGCTTTTACTGTATACATGATATATATATATTTTTAAAAGATGATTACTTATCGATGTTGACTAGGTTTAACGACACTTACACGAAACACGACACATTTTACTCGCAACCGTGGCGGTTGGTACATGTACGTGTAGTTTATACATACATACATATATTATATATTTGTTACAGTTGCCAAGCAAGTTTTTTAATCGAGTAAAGACGGCGCCCCTTCATCCGTGTACATGTATCCGTGTACATATTATATTATATTATATTTTGTAAAACAGTGGAAGAAGTAACGAAATAATATTATATTGTGCGACAAGATGGCCTCGTGTCCCCATTTTTTGTTTGCCTAATCACCTCTTCCTCTAAAAGCATCGGCCTCAATCCTCCGGAATACCGCCCCTCTCGCAGTTAAATCCTGCGATTTAAAATTCAAAAAGAGCGCCTCGACCCGAGGGTGGCCTTAATCAACTTCTTCGTAATTTTGAGTAACTGGGCGTAAGGTTTTTTCGTTCAAAGTAAGTAATTCTTTGCCGTGGATCCACGAACAAGTAGTAAAAGCCCAGCTGCGGTCAGACGCGTTCCTTCATTTCTCGGCTCCGTGAAAAGTTTGCCGGACTCGGGGCCAAAAATAGTTACATTACGGGGTAGAGGAGACCGAAAATGGATTTTCCGGAGAGGAAAAAACAGCGTCGTTTCGTAGCTGATACATCGCGGGGTAACGTCCCGAATAATTGCTTACGAATCGCATGGAGTTTCTGCAGCGGCGCTGGTTAAGCAGCAAACTTTATAACGCGGCTTGGGCAGTGAATCACGTCTCGTCGGTGTTGAATGGCCCCTCGATCGATTCCGGAGAATCCTGTTCTTCTGCGCTCAAGTGGATACACACAAAACGTTGTTCGACGCTGTTGTTGTTTTTTACTTTTACTTTTACCCTCGTATTTACTCTGTTTTCACCGAGTACCAAGTAAATAAACTTTTTTTTTATTGTCCAAGGCTCCTCGTTTGGCCCTTTATTTTAGCGGAAAAGAAAGACGGAAAAAACATATATGAGGGACCATCATCTCAATGGACACGCGAGAAAGAGCTCTTTTGTGTCGAGGACCAAGTTTTCCAACATTAAAAAAAAAAAAAAAAAAGAGAGAGAATGACTCGACAAAAAATGCAACTTCCTGGTGGATGACACGGGATTTTGGGGATCTTGATTCGTGCGCTATTGTCCGTCGAATCGACATAGACGTGGGGTTGAAATGACGAGATTGCGAATGATGATCATCGCCAAACAACCCTTAAAGACAATTCTCCCACGAACAGAGAAGTGAAACAGACATTTGTCGGTTTTTCTCAATATTTGTACACTGCCCATCTCGGGGGTTGAATGAGTTTGGGGATAAATCATGGAACATGAACATCGTCGGACGCTCCCCCAATATACATACAGACAAGTGTACAAATCGCTTCTCCACTCCCCACTGTCTAATTCGTTATCGATCAGCCAAACGCGTAAAACGCCCCCGTCTTGTCCTCCCTCCGACACAAGATACAGAGTTCATCATCCGCATCGCCGTCCGAGTGAATATTCTTTTTTTTTTTTTTTTTTTTTTGTTTCTTGCGTGTCGGATTTATCGAGGAAGGTATATTTATTAAATCGGGCGTTATTTACGGCCGGCTTGTTATGTCGGAGTTGAAGCGCGTGTAGGTATCTAGGTATTTTACGAGGACGGTATATTGTGGATTTTGGGTTCTGCGGGAGATCGATAGCCGCGGATGATACATCGAAATCGCCAATTGACAGCTTCGTACTTGCGCGTGGTGAAGCAAACTTATAGGGAGGTCTTATGAAATCTTTTTTTATGACTCCATCAAATTAATCAAAAAACTCACAGATTCATTAAAATTGGTCGTAATCGAGTACAGGCACGTATGGAGGTGAGAAAAATATAACATATGATTGTTTTACCTCCCACGGTTGCATCGTAAAGTGTATATTATGTACACCTGCGACATAACAATACAATGGAAACAAGCACTTCTGGTTTATTTGTTCCTTTCCCTCGCGTGTTGCGAAGTTGTAGTAAAAAAAAGACGCTCTGCCTAATGGAATAATAGAGTACCCATACACGCGGATGAGGAATTCCCCGGTTGATTTTGATTTTACTCGTGCGTGTTGTGTAGGTATATATAATATGAAAATGGGATCTCGTCCGACGCCAGTGATTCATTCGTCTCGGTCGCTGCTGCCGGTCCGCGAAAAAACAAAGTCGGGGAGGGTCTTTTACCATTGTCATCGTGNCCCACCCATTCTCCATCTCTATCCGTTATTATTTTGTGTGTACAGCAAAAATAGATACATATACACATTATGTACACGTGATTTGTCGCGTCGACTGCCGGGAGTGCGGATGGACGGGGGCCGATCCAACGACCGACGGTAGCCAGCGTCGCTGTACTTCTCCCGCGACTCCTCCCCCGTTAATCCCCGACGATCATCCCGTCATTGCCGTCGTCCCATCCTCATCGATAATCGTCCCGATCGGGCGCGTAGTGTGTGCCGCTGCAGCCGCGCGACTCGCTACGGGGTGACAAGTGCGGGGTGCTCGATTAATCGTCGCCGAGCAGTTCTTGTTTGGGAACTGTCCCTCATCGGCCTCCCACCCCTAACCCCCCACCCCTCTTTTGACATTTCTTCCTCTTCTTCTTCTTCTCCTTCTCATACCTCTTGTCTGCAGCGAGGACGAAATGACGCTGTTCGCGTCGAGGGAGGAAAAGTCGAAGCACAAACAAGATCTCACGGATACGTTCAGCATAGAGGAGCTGAGCGAGGAGGGCAGCGAGGACTCGTTGCACTTGGGCGCGGCGCCCATGGATCATCCTCACACGCGGACCTACATGCCTTCCGGGTGCTTCTCTTCCTGCCACTGTCGGATACTTTGAACGGCCATTGGAAGGACGATACAGATTTTTTTTTTATTTTTTATTTTTTTTATTCAAATATAAAAATATATCGATGTAAAAGGGAGATTTTATAAAAATAACGTTGGAAAGTCCGCGAGGAAGGATTATAGTGGCGCAAAGATAAATGCGTTGTTTGTAACGATCGACTGCTTTTACTGTATACATGATATATATATATTTTTAAAAGATGATTACTTATCGATGTTGACTAGGTTTAACGACACTTACACGAAACACGACACATTTTACTCGCAACCGTGGCGGTTGGTACATGTACGTGTAGTTTATACATACATACATATATTATATATTTGTTACAGTTGCCAAGCAAGTTTTTTAATCGAGTAAAGACGGCGCCCCTTCATCCGTGTACATGTATCCGTGTACATATTATATTATATTATATTTTGTAAAACAGTGGAAGAAGTAACGAAATAATATTATATTGTGCGACAAGATGGCCTCGTGTCCCCATTTTNTTTTTTTTTTTTTTTTTTTTTTTTTTTTTTTTTTTTTTTTTTTTTTTTTTTTTTTTTCTGAAGAATCAAGGTTGCGGAAATCTCCCTTGGCATTGTATTGTCTGACAATACGTGGATGTTACTACTGCGACGGGTTTTTCGTGCGTCAAGCCTCGTATGATGTCTAACGGCGAGCGTTGTGATGAGGAAAAAAAAAAAAGAAGTAAAAGAGAAATTGACAAATTCATCCACCAGAGCGCAGCTGTACGGACGATTGACCTGATTTTACGGGGATAAATCGTCCCTCCGTATCTTAATAACAATAAACACAATCTCTTCCCTACACCCCCTCCCTCCCACGTACCGGAAGAGCTCGAAAGGCCCATACGAGATAGCATCTGCCGTCGCGATAACGAGAGCCTACTCTCTCCCCCCCCGCGGCATTCTTTCTCTTCTTCCTTTTGGTAGCTAAAGTTAAGGGTGGCTCTGTGCGCGCGTGATTGATCGAGTTCCAAGCTGCTTCGCGAAGAAGGGAAGAAATCAGTGTTGTTGTTGTTGTTGTTGCCGGATCCCTCGAGAGTGGCCCTTTTACCGAGCTTCTTTTTTTTTTTCTTCGCCATCCAGCGCGAGATTTTCCCCTCGCGTACATATCTTTTTTTTTTTTTTTCGCATCAGAAGCAAATGTGAAACTCATTTCAGGCCAGACGCCGTGCGTGGACACAAAAATTTCATTTCCCACCGAGTAACGGGCGAAACGTTTAAAAAAAAAAAAAGGAGGGGACACGGATGTACGTACAAATACGGGGGAAGCTTTAGGAACAGAAGGTGGAAGGACTCGAGGGAGGAGAGAGAGAGAGAGAGAGGATGTCGGTGCTCCAAAGCTTATGTTTGTTTGTTTGCTCGTGTATCCTCGACGCAAAACAATTGCAATGCACATATAACTTTTCGGCTCGGATTCCCCGGCTGTATTTCGATCACGTAGCCAGTTTTCCTTATTTTTTTTTTTTCATTCATGTTATTCAAACGAGGGCGACTTTGCATTTCATCCGCTCAAAACCTAATGAAATTATTTTTCTGTACACTTCCTCGTGGGACTGTGTCACCATTTGCACACTCTTGTTTGTTTGTTTTTGTTTTTTTTTTGTTTTTTTTTTTTTCAACATCAAAGCTTCGCCGCGAAGAGCAGATCGTTTATCAGAAACGAGTGAAAAAACGCGTGTCAAAGTGTACCGAGAGATAGAGCAAAGAAACGCGCCCCCTCGAGCTGCTCTTCTGGAGTTTGCATCTTGTTTTGTCAGTTTTCCTCGCTTTTTTTTTTTATAATTCATGCGCACCCACCCACACACACACAAAGACACTCGTTCGCGGCTTCAGGAGCAGGTATACGCTTCCAGGTCAACGATTGCAAATGTAAAGTGGATTTTGTTTCCTCCCGATCTCTGATGCCTGCATTTTCATGCATGCGCGTGTCCATTGTCTGAACAGTCGCGAGGATACGGGCATTATATGCATTCGCGTATCTACATCGACGTGAAGAGTCTCTTTCCCTCTTTTTTTTGCGGCGGTTCACTGGATTAAAAAAAAAAAATCCCAGTCTTCAACATCTTTCTTTTGAAACGAGCAAGTATTATGTGCAAAAGAGGCGCGATAACAAAAATTACCGACCCATATCACCCCGTGGTAAATATGTACATGCCGTGTTGCGTGAAGTGAACAATAAAATATGTCGGTTCACTTGAGTGCTCGTGCAATAACTCGTGTTAATATACATAAATACACGTTTAACCCATGAGGGGACGAATATCACCGCGGCCATGTATGTGAGGGGGGCAATTTCCGAGTTCACGTTAGCGAGAACATCGTTTCGCTTTCACTCCTCCTCCTCCGCCTCCTTG